CAGTCCACTCTGATGAATGAAAGAATGAAAGAATGAATGAATGAATGAGGGAGGAGGCAGCTCTTCTTTACAGCCGACGGCAGTGAATGCAGAAGGCGTGGTGGCAAACAGTCCCTGGGCACCGATCACCGTGGGGGGCTCACGGATGGTGCTGCCCCAGGGGGAGGTCTGACGAGGAACAGAGAATCTGCATAGCCCTGGACTATCTCCTTATTAATATGAATCAATGCTAAAGGAATAACGGTGACTACACGGCAGAGTAACCTGGCCGACACCAACTTAACCAGGCGACCACAGTGAGGGTCACCAGTGGTAAAAAGGTCAGCACTGTGGCCTCCTGCCGTGACTCTCAGAGCACAGCCCTGTCCACAGTGAGGTGCTTCAGCCAAGCTGGACACACCTGGCTTAGGGCCACCCACGAGCACAAGGCCCGTCCTCTGTAACACTGTCCAGAAGGGGACATTCAGAAGACTAACGAGGCATGCTACTGGATGTCACACATTCCTGGACCAACGAGGAAAAGAGACACTGCAGGGACAGTTGGGGAACGTGACCGGGTCTAAGGACTGGCTGGCGGCCGTGGATCATCGGTACTGATTTCCCAACTGGCAGGGCTGCTCATGCGCCAGTGACGAAAGGCAGTGCCTGGCAGTATTAGCATTTAGAGGTGACGGGGCATCAGATAAGAAAAAGATTGTGTGTGCATATATACATATGTGAAATGTGTAATACATAAATGCACACATGTGCACGTGCACGCACACAGAGAAACGGTGCAGAAGTAAATGTGGTAAAATGTTCAGAATGACAATTGAATAAAGGGAGCTCTTTGTACTATTCTGAAACTCTTCTGCAGGTTTAAAGCTATTTTAAATTAAACAAAAAACATTTGAAAAAAGTTCATCAATATATTTACTGGGAAGACCGTAATGGGGGCAGCAACATTTTAGGGTCTTCCTAAAGGCCCATATAGCACAGAGCAACCAGGTAGCAAAACCCAAACCAGCAGACAGTACTGAAGCAAACCCGGTGGAGGGGGAGCCCAAGCAGCCGCACACTTACTGCAGGGGACGTCGGGGAAAGCGCCTGGGTAGCAGGCCTTCACTGCAAAGAGCGGCAGGCTCATGTGCGAGCCCCTAGACCTGCGAGGGGTTGTGTCAACTCACACAGCGGCCCGGCCACTGGGGACCCTCACTGGACCCACCAGGGCTCTCTGTCAGCACGGAATCTCGCACAGAGGAGGCTCTGTGGGGAGGGAGTCACAGCGCAGCAGGACAGGGACAACGAAGACAGAGGTCCTGGTGAGGTACGGGAGGAGAACAGAGCCATGGGCTCTCAGAGAGCGAGCTCCCACATTTTTATCCCTTCATGAAAGCAACACAGGGGCACAGTTACAAACACACCTCAAACCACAAGTCTCTTAACAGTCCAGCAAAACCAAATTCACACAGAAGTGAGCAACAGAAGAGCATCAAGGTCAAGTCCATACAAGTTACTACAGGAAAAAAGAGAGTAAGAAGCTCAGTGACATCCCCATAGACGATGAAAACACCAAAAGGGTACAATCAAAACACACGGAAACCGTAGTGTTCTATTTCACAACAAATGAAAGGCATTAAGAAAATAATAAAAGGCATGAAGAAACAACAATGTAAGTCAGAATTAGCAAAGCTTAGAAATGAGGAGATAAAGTCAAGAATTAGAAATTAGAAATAAACGAAAATTTCATTTGATAAACAAAGACTAAACTCAAAAGAACACAAGAGCAGGGCCGGCCAAGTGGCACGATGGTTAAGAACTGGCTTGGGATGCCAGAGGGCCCCAGTTCGGATCCCACATATGAGGGCCAGTGACACTGCCCTCCACAGCTAAG